CTGCTTGGCCTGCTGTGTTCATCCAGCTCTGCACCTTGTTACCTCATTTTGCTTTTATTTGTGCCTTTAAGGGAAAGCAGGAAGGGAGAAAGGGGTAGTGGGATAAACAGGAAGTGGGGGGTGCTGAAGGACGATGACAGGAAACTCGTGTGTAGCTTAAATACCAACATACACTAACTGGGTCAAGGGCCCATTCTTATGCTGTACATTCCAAAAATTTTCCAATGTCATCCCACTTATATTGTACTTCAAAATCTCCCAGTTCCTGTCAGTAAAAGTCCCTGCGTTTCTTGATAATTTCCAACAAAATTCCCTATGACGAAATATTGGGAAAATTCCTCCTGTTCCCTTGAATATTTCTTACCTGACCTTTCATTGGGTTTGGAGCCATGGAAATAGAGATGGTCCATTCTTGCACAAGTCCAGTGTAACATAACCAACCTTGCTGTGAGAATTTGAATCGTTATTTCTTCCTGAGTATTGCTAACCTACACCATTAGCTAAATATTTGGTATGCTGCTAAGGCAGGTTTTATGCAGCTTTGCTTGGGGTTTAGACTGTTGTTTTTGTGTATATGTCCGCACTGTGCACCATGGTACTAAGTAAAGGACACCCACCTGCTACCCTTCATAGTAGCCATTCTGACTCAAACGAGCTAACTCAGCATAGATTTATAAAGAGTGAACTTGAGCCATTCCTGTTTTGAACTGGCTGAGCTTTGAAGCAGACGGCTGGGGAAACCCAGGTGGAAATGCCTCGATGGGAATGCGTACAGCCTTGAAGGTGGAAACGAGAGAAACTTTGCCTTTCACCATCACACACTGAGAGGACTCGGAATGAGTGATACAGAAGTGAAACACTCCGCCTTCTTGGGCTAAATGACTCACCTGTTCACTTGCTCGGGCTCCAATGAACTTGGACTTGTGTACGCATGGTATTTCGGTGACTTCACTAAATCTGGACCCACAAGTTTTCGCCCCCTTTAAAATTGGCAAAAGGATAGCGTGCAACATCCATTTGCATTTATGTTCAATGCAGGGAAAATTTCCCGAGATGTCTTTTGGGCACCCAAAATCTTGAATAAAGGGGGAAAGAGGAAGTGGGAAGATTTTGGGAGATAATTTCAGAACACTGGGGCCTAGGAGACTGAAGGCATAACCTTCAGTAGTAGGGGTGAGGATATATAATATTTTCTTGCTAATGTTCAAATAATGCCTATGCGCTGGAATTCCCTCCTGGTTTCTCCCCAGTTCTCTTTCCTCCCATAACATGCTCCTCGCAATCAATGTCTTTTACCAAATGTATTATCATCTATCTCAATATCTCCACAGATTTGGTTAAATATCCTTAGATTTTGGCTTAATATGCAGGCATTGCAGGCAGTCTAGAGAGGTTTGCTACGTTGATCCCAAGTATGAAGGGACTATCTCATGAGGGGATGTTGGGTAATACTCATTAGAATTGAGAAAAAAATGGTAGGTGACCTTACTGAAACATAAGATTCTAGGAGACTTGACAAGGTAGAAGCAGTAAAGTTGCTTCCCTTTTTAGGAGTGCCTGGGGCCAGAGGGCATAATCTCAGAATAAGGGGTCACCAATTTAAGACAGAAATGAGGAGAAATTTCTTCTCTTAGAGGATAGTGAATCTGTGGAATTCTTTACCACACATGGCTGACAGGTCATTGAGTATATTCAAGGCCAAGATAGATTTCTAATCAGTAAGGGAATCAGCGATTATGTGGAAAAGGCAGGAAAGTGGATTTGGGAATTGTATCAGATCAGCCATGATCTCATCGAATGGCGCAGCAGACTCGATGGACTGAATGGCCTACTTCTGCTCCAACATCTATGACTTAATGGAGCCAGTCTCTTTGATAACGATTGTAAAGTGCCTTAGGACTATGAAGGTACCTTGCAAATACATGTTGTTGGTGCCAAATATTGCCCAAGAACAATCCTTGGGACTTTTTGGTCAAATTTAAAGGTCTTATATAAACGTAAGTTGTTGTTGTTTGGATGTGGAAGGAAATTGGATAAGAAGGAAGCAAAACTCTGGATGTAAATGCATTCTGTTTTTGACTTCCCTTCCCCTCTCATGAAACGTTTGGTTCATTTCCAGTAAGAATTGGTTCTTGGAATTCCCCACTTAAAGATGATGCATCAATATTTTGCTTGTGCTTGTTTTAATTGTACAACTGCCAGTTAATGTGGAAACTTGTTACTCAGTTCCAAAGTGGGAGCTGAGTTTAGGCAGGCTGCATTTTCTCAGGAAATTTGCACTCTGCGCCTTTTCACGCTGTTAGACCTTTATTAACCTCTCTTCTCTCTCTCTCTCTCTGTCCTTCCGGTTTTCTCCCAGGTTCCTTCATCTGGCAATTCTGCACCAGCGCTCGGACATTGCTAGTTTCCTGTTGTGGTCTGAGCCATCCATTATTGACATCTGCAACAGGTCCCGACAGGTGAGTCTCCCTTTTGGCCTCCTCCCACCGTCTCGTTGAAGGTGGCTTTGACAAAGGAACTTCGGGGGAAGGAAAGACCAGCCTGCGCTTTCATAAATCAGAACATAACGTTGGCTGAGAGATGGGATTCTGTGACTGGACACCGATTGCCAAATAATCACAAAGTGCACCGATCTAAGGTCATCATGCGGGTTTGCCGTGGGGCTCACTTACAATTTGCAGGAGCAAATTACTGCAGATGCTGGAAAGCAAAAAAAAATTGCTGGAGATCACAGCGAGGTCAGGCAGCATCCGTGGAGAGAGAGAGAGCGTGCTAGCGTTTCGAGTCTAGGTGACTCTTCATCAGGAGTGGGGAGGGGCCAGCATTTATGCTAAAGCTGCGAGGGGGGAAGAGAGGGTGGAGTATTGGGGGAGAAAGGATGTTGTTAGTTCAGATTAAGTGATTGGAAAGCGAGAGTGACAGAACAATGATGTGTCAAACTGCCAGACTGGAAAGAACAGACAGTCCCACTGGGGTGGGGTAGGGGGAGAGAGAATGTAACAAGTAAAGCTAAAAGAAAGACAAGGGGTGGGAATGGGTTCACAGTCTGAAGGTGTTGAACTCAGTGTGAAGTCCAGAAGGTTGTAAAGTGCCTAGTCTGAAGGTGAGATATTGTTCCTCTCTCGCTTATGCTTTGCTGGATGTTACATACATTCACAGGCAGGGCCTTATCTTTTGTATTCAGAAAGTCTATGTCCACACGTTCTTCCTCCCTCAGCCAATCAGAGTCTAGTTCAAGGGCAATAAGGGGTGGTCACCAAATGCTGGCCTTGTCAGCATTAATCTGCAATCTGTCAATTCTTATCTTCTGGAAACTTACTGACTTTATCTTTGCTTCTGTGGCCATGGATAATCAGTCATTGAATACACAGTTTTTTTTTGACTTTCTCGCCTTTTCCAGAGCCCTTTGCATCTGTCAGTGATCATGAGGATGCCGGGAGTGACCAGGGAGCTGGTACAAGCTGGGGCCGACCTGAAGAGTTTGGACAGCTTCGGGAATACCCCGTTGCACCTGGCCTGCGAGCAGGGAGACCTAGACTGCATTAATGTGCTCCTTGATCCGATGGGCACCGGCAAGTTCACACAGCAGCGCCAGGCACAAGATCTGGAATGGCGTAATTACTGCGGTAATTTCTTTGCTTACTTGGCCCACCCACTAACCTGTGTGTAGCCGGACACTTTGCAGCGATTAACGGAATGATGAGGCTGAATGACCATCCTCACCAGTTCTCACCCACTTGCGCAGTCTTGATCTCTGTACTATTGGAAAAGCCTGGAGCACAGGTCTCACCAAGCTGCATGGGCATGCAGTGGAGGGTGCTATCCATACCTGGTTCTGCAATTAAATAACGCATGTGTGCAGCCATGCATCTCAACGAACTGCATGCAAATAAATGATCTGTGCAAAGCAACTAAACCTTAAAGGGAACTTTGCATAGAAGAACTGGAGGAAGTGCAAGAGCAGAGAGATGGTGACATAGTGAGAATGTCACAGGATGAGTAACCTAAGTCATAGAATCCCTACAGTTTGGAAGCAGGCCATTTGACCCAGCGAGTCCACAGTGACACTCCAAAGAGCATCCCACCCAGACCCAGCCCATCCTTGTAACCCTGCATTTCCCATGGCCATTCCACCTAGCTTGTACGTCCCTGGACACTATGGGGCAATTTAGCATGCCCAATCCACCCTAATCTGCCCATCTTTGGGACTGTGGGAGGAAACCAGAGCACCCAGAGGAACCCACTCAGACACAGGGAGAATGTGCAAACTCCACACAGACAGTCGCCTGAGGGTGGATTCGAATCCAGGTCCCTAGCACTGTGATGCAACAGTGCTAACCACTGAGTCACCACGCTCCTTAGGTCAAAGGCTAATGCAATGAAGGCTTCGGTTCAAATCCCACCACAGCAACTGGTGGAGTTAAAAATTCAATTAATAAATACTGGAGTTAAATCTAGTCTCAGTAATAGTGACTGTGAATCTACCGCTGATTGTTGGAAAACCCCTTGTCGTTCATGAATGTGCTTTAGGGAAGGAAATCTGCTGGCCTTATCCGGTTTGAACTACATGTGACTCCAGACCCACAGCAATGTGGTAGACTCTTGAGTGCCTTCTGAAATGGTCGAGCAAATCACTCTGTTCATAGGATGGTCAATAAATGCTGGCCTTGCCAGTGGACGCAACCATCCCATGAACTGAGTAAGCTGAGGGAGTATAGATGTTGGGGAGGATTACAAAGGGTTAGATACTTCTCTGTGGAATGTATAGGAACCAGCTGAGGGCTTACAATGTGTTGGACAGTGGAGAGAATGTTTCTGCTGAAGGGAGATTCCAAAACTACAAGACAAACCTTTAAGGCAGTCATTATTAAATAAATTAAGGAAATAAAGAGAATGTGGTGAAGGCAAATAGCTCAAATGCATTCAAAAAGGAAACTACAGAACTTCATGAAAGAAAAAGCAATAGAATATGTTGTTGAAGGTCAGAGATGGGATGCGTGGGATGGGAGGTGTATCGTATGGGGCAAAAATACCAGGACAAAATAGTTGGGTTAAATGATCTTATTCTGCACCAGACGTTCTGTGTAGATCCATGACTCCTTGCTGTTATACATACTAGATCAGGGACATGATGGGGTTGGGGATTGGAGTGAGTAATGTTTGCTGTTCACCAGGCTACCCAGTCATAGCCTGCTGTTCCTCATGTCTGATCATAGAATCCCCTACAGTCCTGTACAGTTTCCAGACTATTCAACAGCAGGAGCACCACATTCAAGTCTGATCCTCTCTTTGCCTGATTTGTGCATGTAGGGAAACACACTCAGTGTTAGGTGATCATCGGCCAACCCAACTCAACAACCCTTGAGGTGCTGAGACCAACTGAATGCCCAGATTGAGTTCATTCACTCAGCATAACCTTGGTCACTGGGGAATTTGTAGACAGGAGTAAGGCTTGACCGTACCTCATGTGAGTTGAGTGTTAAAGACCAATCTCTTTTTACCACAGGTCACACATGTCTTCACATCGCAGCAATGAAAGGAAATTGTGAAGCAGTGGCACGATTGCTAGTTTCAGGAGCCAACATTAATGCTCAGGTAAGGCAAGGCTAAACAGGTTCGGAAGAATGAGAAGTGATCTCATTGAAAACATATAGGATTCTTACGGGGCTTGACAGGGTAAATGCTGAGAGGATGTTTCCCATCATGGGAGAGTCTAGGACCTGTGAGCACAGTCTCAGAATAAAGAGGTGCCAATTTAAGACTGAGATGAGGAGGAATTTCTTCTCTGAGAGTTGAGAGCCTTTGGAACTCCTTTCCCGAGGGAGCTGTGGGGGCAGAGTCCTTGTGTAAATTTAAGACTGAGATAGATACATTCTTGATCAGTAAAGGAAATCGCAGATGAGTGGATGTGAGGAATCAGCCACGATCCTGTTGAACAGTGGAGAAGGCTTCAGGGGCCGAATGGCCTACTCCTGTTCCTATTTGTGATGGTATAATAGGTAAGATTCCCACTCATCTTCCAAACTGTGGTGGTGCAACAGATTGAAGCCTCAGAGGATCAAAATTGATGTAAAACCTTTAACTTTTTTATATGCATATTGTCGTCTAGAGCTATGGATAGTGATGGGAGAGGCTCCAATGGCTTTTACATCACACAGTTGACCAGGAATCTGTCCTGCTGTTACTGCCTGGCATTGGCGTGCATTGGAAAGATTTGTCACAATGTCACAGGCACAGCTTTCGTGGCCAGGAAGTCCTGGAGTGGGACTTGAACCCACGACTTCTGGCTCACGTTTAGGGTCAGTTACACACTGTATCACAAGAGCTCATGAGTGTGTGTGTGTGTGTTACCTGCACAATTTAATGGGCTACAGTCAACCATCTGATTAAAGAAATACTTATTGTTCTTGGGGATGTGGACATCATTGACAAGGTCAGGGTCCCATCCCTAACTGTCCTTGAACGGAGTGACTCTCTAAGCCATTTCAGAGTCAACGACACTTCTGCGGGTCTGGATTGAAAGGTCACAAACATGGCGGCTATGCTGTGGTCGCCATTGACATTTCTGTAGCGCAACCTCAGAACATTGCAAAGCTGATGAAGTGGCAGTCGCTGCTGAAATGTTGAAAACCTGTCAGGCACCTGGTGTGCGGCGAGTTCTCACACAGAACATTGTGCGAAGATGAGCAGACTGTTTGTCTGCTGCAGACTTTTGACTTCCTGGGGAATCGAGGGATATGGGGAGCAGACCAGAGAGTGGAGTCGAAGACCCGGGATCTGCCATGATTGTACTGAACGGCGAAACAAACACGAGGGGCTGAACGGCCTACTCCTGCTCCTGTTCCTTTCATTCTTGAATAGGTTGAGGGGTAGATTTTGGCCCTAGGACACTGTGGAGAATCCTCTGGCTCTTCATCAGGATGGCGACTGCCCTCCCACAGCAAGATCTCACAAAATATTCTGGTGTCGTGAGGCACTGGTTGCAGGTTGGGGTGGAAGGGGTCAAATTGGGGGAAAGGGCTGTTTGTTTTTTTCCATTTATGAGATGACAGCCGTGCTCGGAGTAAGCTGTGACCTTGACCCTGTGGCTATTCTGACAGGAATCGAACAGTGGGAGGACGCCCCTGCACCTGGCGGTTGAGTTTCAGCATCGGGAGGTGGTGCAGCTCCTCATTGAGCATGGCGTGGATGTCAACCGGTTAACGTACAACAGCTGCACAGCCTTCCACCTCACAGCAGGCCGTCCCGACCTCTGGATCCGGGAGCAGCTTTCTCAGCTCACCAACTCCTCACTGATCTCGCTCTGCGAATCCTCCGATTCCGAGTCTGAGGCGGAGTGGGACGCCCGGTCGGACTGCGAGGTGAGCCTCCCCGTGGAAAGACGCGCGAGGCAAGCGTTGGGGGGGGTGGGGGTAGCAAATCAGAGCAGGAGGAGGCCATTCAGCCCCCTCGGGCCTGCTCTGCCATTCGGTCAGATCGCGGCTGACTCTGGCTCCTACTTCAGAGCGCGAGCACGAGAGAGAGCTTGCATTTTTATATCGCCATCCGCAATCTTGGGAAGACCCAAAGTATTTCATGGGCTGTAAAATGCATTGAGGCGTTCTTTGGTCATGTGAGGCACTATATAAATGCAAGTCTTTCTTTCTTTCAAAATCCCTTAGTGCCCATTCAAGCACTTTGAAGCCACCTTTGCAATGTATGGAAACAGGCAGACAAGTTAAGCACAGTAAGATCCCACAAATGGCAATTTGATAGCAACCAGATCATAAGTCGTTGTGATATTGCTTGAGGGATATTGGCTCCAGGTGTCCAGGGAAAACTCCACTGACCTTCCTTGAAAGGGTGGCTGTGGGATCTTTAACATCCACCTCAGAGGGTATACAGGGTCTCAGTTTTACGTCTCATCCCATAGACAGTGCCGACGGCAATACAGCACACGCTCAGTGCTAGCAATGGTGGATCGAGCCTAAATTTTGTGCTTCATTTCCTTGGGAGGGCGAGCATTGGGTGAAGGTTGGGTGTTACAAGGCGATGATGTACCCAATCAGGACCTCAAACTGAATTCTAACAATCTGGATCAACCATATCCACACCTCTTAGATTTCTGATTTGGAGATTTATCAGTTTGAATTTCCTGGGTCTGGGTAAGGTCCATTTTGACCATTGTTACCTCACTGCAGGATCAATTCTAAATTAGAGCACCCAGATCCTTGTTCTAGCAGTTTAAGTTATGACATGGAAATAGGCTTCTCTAACTAATTAAATAACTAACTAACTAATTAGTTGGCAAAGTCAGTGAGCAGTGATGATGTGAAAGAAAAAGGAGCATCAGTGGAATGTGGAAAAGGGAAGTGGCCATTCAGCCCCTCAAGCTTGTTCTGCCATTTTTAATTCCATTTAGCCACCTTGACACTATAATCCTTCATACTCTTACCTGATAAAATCTAGAACAGTGGCTTATAGCATCCCCAGTGGAGGAAGAAAAGACAGGGCAGAATGATATGGAAAAAATACTGACCTGTTTCTGAAAATTACTTTCTTACAGATGCCTCTGGACTACGATGATCTTCAAATCAGAGGCCTTTCCTTCCATTGATCACTGAACACAATCAAAGCTGTCCATCAACTTGTGTTCCAACTGAGACAATGATTGTGTCATTGAAGGGGAACTTACAAACAGACTATGCTTACAGCATCGACTTCTCCTCACCCCGTGTCCCACACACCCATCCCCATCCTTCCGCAGATCCTCAGGAGATTCGGCCACCCGGAGGATGAGTCACCATGAGTCAGGATGCTGACTGTATCAAACAGAGCACCGTGTAGCTCACTGTAACTTCAAAAACCAGCACTTTTCGAGGGACCGTTGAAAGCACTGGTGGAGAATGAGGAAATGAGGAAATGTGAAGGACCAGTCCGTGCAGTAATGGTACAGGATTATACATGAACGTAGGAACCCAGAGGGCAGAAATGAGCCAGAAACTTGGAATATTTCCTCTTGCCCTTGTTTCTCACAGTCAGGACAAGAGGCAAGAAGAGCATGTTAACTTCTTTTAGATTATTGCCGATATGTCACGGGGAATGGGATATCCTCTCTTCATTCCCATTCAGCCTCACTATGGCTGAAGCCATGAATCATTGGCCACTGGTGACTCCTGCCTAACTCATTACAGAGGGTTTAAGAAATAACCCCATGGGTGGGGGCTGGAGCATTTGTTTTTGAGAGTCACTGAACTTGAAGTTCAGTCTATGCACATTAACTGATGAGAAGAGAGATTGTGACCAGGGAACAGGGAGGTGGTTTAATCCCAGCCAGACTCACCCAAGGTTGAGTGAGAGATTGCACTGGGCCATGGTACGAATGCAAGGCCAACACTGTTAGGTGGTACAACAGCCCAGAAGGTATCTTTTAGCACTGATGACTTTGGGTTCAAATCTCATCTCGAGATGAAGCCCCTTGCTGTTGACTGGAGAGAGATATAGTACAGGAACTGAAGGTGAGATACCTCAACCTAGTTTCTACTGAGCCTTGGCCCATGATGCTAAACTTCCTCCTCACTTGAGGGTGGATCTGTCAATGGGAGACGCTACTCAGACCAGGGGTCAACCCCACAGCAAGTGGGACCAAGGCCTGAACCACATGACACAGCTTCAATTCATTAACTTCTTCCTGAGAGTTTCACAGGTTTATCTTCATGGTGGGGTTGGGAGGGGGGTTGGTGGCAGGTGCAGTGATATATCTCAATGTTGTGACAACATGGATTGTATTTATTCTTCCTGATGTCATGTCAAACCCACCAATATACTCATTGAACTTGATGTGGCCTTCATTTCACATGGGCCTTTTCACAATAAATCATTGTGTTGGTGACATGCCAGGTTCTTTGTACATATTCTCCTCTCCGGATCACTGTCAACTCTGAATACTGGCATCTACATCGCATTTGGCAAATTGCTTCAACGACTGATCACGGGCAGAATGGACAGAAATCCTTTAATTCTTATCTTGAGTATTGAGTACCGGGATGAACTAATAACTCATTGTGGACTCGTACTTGACTATACCAAATAGACATGGAATATTTCAGATTGTGTAAATATTTATGGAGAAAAGGATGATGTTTTGATGTATCTTATTTGTATTTATGATGCCAATTTTGGGCATTGTCACTGACAGGGGGCAGAAATCAACAGTGCCGCCCTTAGCAAAGGCCCCTGACTTTCTGAACTGTGCACAACAGCCTAGCTCCCAACCTGTAGGCCCCATGGAGTCCCGTGCTCCATTAATAGACTTTGATATACCCTCCCTGTCCCCAGCCAGGCATAAATTCATCTTCAGGTTGTAGAATGGAATGGGCAATGGCAAATTGGACAAGCACTATACCCAAAGATGAATTTGTATCTCATTGTATTGAGCTACAGTATATGCCAACTGACTGACTATAGCCCTAATGTGTTGGGACTAACAGAAGGAATGTTGTTAGTACATCTTGCCAGCCCTACAACTCACAATCTTGACCTGGGGTTTTCTGCTCTCCACTGTATAAATATGTGTCTCTTGGGAGTGGCAAGATACTAGAGAAACCCAGGGACAATAAAGCAGGAGTATAAAACTAGGCTAGGAATTTCGACTTGCACCCGTGATGCAACGGAACCAGGCTTAGGAGGTCATAAAGACCCAGTGCTATCAAGACACTTTCCATCTGTATGATGGGATCACTCTCACTCCCGAGCAGGACGTGGGCCAGAGTCCTCTTTGAAAGCACAAAGTGTTAGAGCTAAGAGGCCACCTCCCTCCCAAACTAGAGGAGATAATGTCGTACAAGTCTCCATTTCAACTGTTGAGAGTGCTGAAGGGGCAAGACAGTGTAGGAGATAGATTGATGCCAATAACATGGGGGGAAATATTCTAACTCCATATTCATAATTTCCTAAATTCAAGAAAGCAGTGTATTGGTGTGCCATGCCCATGTAATTAGCTGAAATACTTTATTCTATTGCTGCTTTTTGGGACGTTTTAAGTTGTGCTGAAAGTAACACGTCACACATTTGTACATAATGTCTTATAAATTTTATTTTTTTACAGTAAATAATATTAAAAAATGATCAATAAATATCTTGTTTGTGTCATGATGTTAAAAGATGATCTAAATATCTCACGCAATGTTAGAAGTCACACGACACCATGTTATAGGCCAACAGGTTTATTTGAAATCACAAGCTTGCGGAGTGTTGCTCCTTCATCAGGTAAAGATGTTGGTATTTATGGTCCACCCTTCATTACCCTTGAAATGAATGGCTTGCTAGGGCCACGTCAGAGGGCAGTTAAGCATCAACCACAGTGTTGTGGGTCTGGAGTCACATGTAGATCACACTGGATAAGGACAACCAAATCTCTTCCTTAAATGACTTGGTGAATTGAATGGGTTTTAATTACAATCGATGGTAGTTATCATGGTCACCATCGCTGAAGGTGTATTTTATCATGGAATCATAGAATCCCTACAGTGTACAAAAACCCCTTCGGCCCAACAAGTCCACACCAACACTCAGAGCATCCCATCCCCCTAATCTATACATCCCTGAACACTACAGGCAATTTAGCATGGCCGATCCACCTAACTTGCACATCTTTGGATTGTGGGAGGAAACTGGAGCACCTGGAGGAAACCCACGCAGACACGGGGAGAATGTGCAAACTCCAGACAGACAGTCGCCCCAGGGTGGAATCGAACTCAGGCACCTGGTGCTGTGAAGCAGCAGTGCTAACTACTGAGCCACTGTGGATTTGTTAACTGAATTTGAAACTGATGAGGATTTAGGCCAATGCCTCCTGGTCAACAGCCTGGGTCCTCTGGCCTATTGGTCCAGCGACGTCACCCCTACAGTGCTGTTCCCCACTCCCCTGTTCCACACTGTTTGTTGAGCAAGGCGGGTGTGTGAGGTTAATGGCTGAAGGATAGGATTTCCTTCTTAACAACTTCCCTCATCTCAGATCCACGTTCCTGTTCCCGATTGATTGGTGCGTGGAAATGATGTGTCCCTTTGAAATGCCAACACTGGGTAAGGTCTCCTTTTCCACAGACTATAGGAGAGGGACCTGTGAGCGGGTCAATAACATCAATTAAGCCTAAGCCTTCATCTTATTTGAGGTGTTATTTTTTGTTGTTTAGATTTTTACCCTGATTCTGTCTTTATCCAGTCATGTCGCATTCAGATGGTCTTTCTGTAGCTGTTAATTCCTTATTTTGACACCAGTTTTGTTTCACTTGTTTTTGGCTGCTGCATCATGAAATCTTTGTTGTTTAATTTTACCTGCCCTCCTCCTGATCACGAAGCTTCTTCTAATTTTGTTTGTTTATTCTTTCATGGGATATGGGCGTCGCTTGTTTCCCGTCCCAAATTGGCCCTTGAACCGAGTGGCTTGCTAAAGTCACTTCAGAGGGCAATTAAGAGTCAGCCATATCACATGTAGGCCCAGATCAGGTGAAGATGGCACATTTGCTTTTCTAAAGGGCATTGGTGAACCTGACTGGTTTTTACAACAACTGATGATGGTTGTCATGGTCACCATCGCTGAGACTAGCTTTCAGTTCCAGATTTAATGATTGAATTTAACTTCCGTCAGCTGCTATTGGCAGGATTTGAACCTGCGTCCCCAGAATGTAGGACCCACAAACTAATACCCATGGATATTATCACAATGTCACTGTTTTGTACTTCCTGCCCTTTCTCACCACCACCTCTCGCTGACTCAAAAACTCTTAAAATTTCTATCCCTCCCCTTTTCTAATGAAAGGTCATCGACCTAAAACATTGACTCCATTTCACTGATGCTGCCTGACCAGCTGTGATTTCCAGACTTTGTTCCCCTTTTTCTATCAGGTCTCCAGCATGCAGAATATTTTGCTTCTGTATTAGTTTACATAATGGCTGTAATGGAATGGCATATCCAAACAGGCTTCAGAGGAACGATATGAGAATAAATGGGACGCAGAACCACACCAGGAGATATCCGGGCAGAGAACCAGAGACTCAGTCAGGTTTTAGGGATTATTTTAATCAATGACAGAGAAACAAATGAATTAGTTGTGGGATGAAGGCTTTCAGTCCCTCTAGCCCAATCTGCCATCCGATAGGATCATAACTGATCTGATTGTGACCTCAATTCTACATTGCCATCCATCTTGGATAATCTCCGATAACTATTGACCCCTTTGTTAGGCAAGAATCTATCCACATCTGCCTTAAAATATATATTCAATGACACTGCCTCCACCGCTCTCTGGGGAAGTGAGTTCCGAAGACTCAAATTCTTTGAAAAAAACATTTTCTCCTCATCTCTGTGTTAAATGTTTTAAAAACTGTGTCCCCTCATTCCAGTCTTTCCCACAAGAGGAAACATCCTCTCAGTATCCATCCTGTCAAGGTCCTACAGATTTAAAAAGATCACCTCCTATTCTTCTACAGTCCAATGGATGCAGGCCCAGCCTCTGCAACCTTCCTTCTTAGGATGAACCCCTTCATCCTAGGAACAACTTGAGTGAACCTTCTCTGCACTGCTTCCAGTGTAGGGACATGAGGTGGAGAGAAAGGGAATTCCAGAACTTAGAACAGGGTTACCCAAGCAGGGTTCAGGTACCCAAAGGGGTCGTGAGCTGAAGCTGGGATCACAAGCTCTGAGGCAGCATGGCCACTGTGGAGCTCTGACAAAGCTATAACAGCTGTAGAACTGTCCTCTCACTCTTACAGTTATCACTCAGGGGTCATGGTGATTTTACAGCCCAAAATGGGGTATCAGAAGCGAAAAGTTTGGGAAGCGTTGGCTGAGGGCTCAGACAGCTGGAGACACAGCCACCAATAGTTGATCAATTAATTTTTTTTATTGTAGGCAAAGGAAAGCAACATGATAAATGTAGGAATATGGAAAACAGATGCAGGAGTAGGCCACTTGGCCCATCCAGCCTGCTCCACCATTCAATATGATCATGGCTAAGCATCCAACTTGGTTCCTACTTTTTACCCATACTCTTTGATTCATTTAGTCCTATGAACAATACCTAATGCTTCTTGAAAACATTCAATGTTTTGGCCTCAACCGCTTTCTGTGACAGAATCAAAAGAGAATCTTCTAAAGAAGTTATATCAGACTCAAAACCCTAACTCTGTTTCTCTCTCTACAGATGCTGCCAGACCTGCTGAGTTTCTCCAGCAATTTCTGTGTTGTTTCAGTTTTCCAGCATCTACATTTTTGCCTTTATTCCCGTGATATCTGTCCCTGCCCCTCAGTAAATCCTGTTACTCATTCATCACTCAGATGAATGAAACCTGATTTTGTTACATGCAGCACTCCCTCAGCATTGCACTGGAAGTATTGGACTGGACTATGGGCTCAAATGTATGGGATGGTGCTTACACCCTTGACCTCCTGACTCAGAGGTGAGGTAACGAGTCTCTGCATGTTCCACAAAACTAGCTCATCGTGCATGACATCAAGGAACTTGGACGGAGGCAAATACATTAGAAACACATTCCCTGCAACATGCTGGAAATCAAATATGTCACTATATTTCACAATTCATTGTCAAGCAGGGATCAGGAATGGGAGTGTCGCACTGCACCCACAGTATATATGTACAAAAGGGATTCAGTTTGTATATATTCTTTGGAACTCAAGAGATAACCATCATTGCATAAGCAGAAGCTGTTTTTTAGTCATTGTCTATTTTGACATTGAGTCCAGTTGAAAATCACAGGATGATGAATCATGGCTGGGGTTATTTCATTTTAGATCATCAGTGGCTATTCCTGTCTGCTGTTAACACAGGACTTTTGCTGTTTTAGTGATTCAACTAAGTTACAATACAGAATCAAAGAACAATGGAGCACAGAGGGAGGCCAGAATTTCACAAGCACATAGGACAGGACTAGGTCATTCAGCATCCCCATGTCTGCTCTGCCGTCAATATAATTGCATCCATTCTGACTGTGGTCTCAATTCCACTTTCTTGTCAACTGCCCTAACCCCAATAAGCCCTGGTCAATCTAAAATCTGTCTAACACAGCCGTGAATATATTCAATGACTCAGCGGGAAATAGATCAACATTATTAGATCTGGTTGTTTTCTCTCACTACTCCTTGTGGGATCTTTCTGTGCACAAATGAGTTGTCACGTTTGGGGAACAGCAACTGTAAGAATAATGAAGAAGAAATTCCTTCTAATCGCAGTCACAAGTGGGCGATCCCTTACTTTGAAACTATGTCCTCCACCTTCCCCAGTTCTAGAATCTCCCTTGAAGGGAAACCTGCTCTCAAGCATCTGCCTTGTCAAAGGCCCGCAGAATATTAAATGCTTCAGTGAGATTGCCTCTCATTATTCTAAGCTCCAATGAGTGCCGGTCCAAGCTGCTCAATGCTTTCTCATAAGACAAACCCCTTCATCCCTACGAATCAGCCATTTGGTCTATCTTGCCCTATGATGGCCCTTTAAAACAGCAATCCAATTAGACTCACTCCTTATGCTCTTTTGCCCTGCGCTTTGTTTCTCCCCTTGTTCAAGTTTTTATTCATTTCTCCCTTTGGAAGTTCCTACTGAATCTGCTTTACCCACTCCCCCGTTCCCCCAGTAGTGTGTTTTAGATCACAACAATGTGCTGCTCTTAAAAAAATATCTCCCCCTTTCTCTCGGTCTGTTTGTGTATGTTATGTCTCAGCTGGCACCACTTTGCATAAAACCACTGAGAAACGATGAGCATCCTGCCTTCAAAAAACACCTCAATGTGATCATTTTATTTCTGAACTCGTGTGGGTGCGACATTGAGTCTATCTGCACCGTGCCGCCCACTCAAACTGCTTGTACAACTGCAGAGTTTGCAAAAAAAGATCATCAGCCCGCCAAATAATCCATCCTCACAAGCCTCCACTTGTCCACAACTTGTCTTTTTGACACAAGTGGTGTAAAATGGAAGAGATGGGCATGTGCTGCCAAGTGGCTGAGTGTGCCTTCACATTACAACTCCCTTCCACTCACTACGCCCCTGCCACTCAGTGGAGCTATTGGAACTGGAAATGATGTAGGTTTGATGTGTTAATAAAAATAACCCATGACAACTA